TAGAAGAGAGTCTGGAGGTTCTTATTGGGGAAATGCTGCCACACCAGCTTTGCCACGTCCTCGTGTCTGTAGTTTCCTTCTGGTAAACCCGTCAACATGACCGTGGACAGTCTGTTAAACTTGGAGACAGACACCTGCAGAGTGTCATGTTCAGAAAACAGAAACATTTTTTTTTTACATTAAAAATAAATTTACTTTTTTAAAAAACCCTTAAACAAAACAAAAAAGAAAAAAAAAACCCTGAAACTTACCCAAACACCTTTCTGTCTCTCCACTGACAAAAAAGCTACGTGTGAAACAAAAAAATGCTTTTATAGAAGAAATATCGACTGGATTTGAGTTTCTTAGTGTGATGACTTTGGTCATTTCTTACGTGGGATGATGAACCACGGAGAAAGTGTTGGGAAGACAAATGGATACGTCAACAAGGTGACGGAAAACGGTGGCAAGCTGCCAGGTGGTACACCAAAGTTTGTAGTGGGGGCGATCACCCCGGAAACCAAATCTTCACTGTCAGGTAAAGCATTCGCTGCCAGCCGGGGAGCTGCCAAAAACATAAATAAATAAAACAAGTATTTTAATGCATTTAATAATAAAACAGCTCAGTATTCCTTTAAACCAGACTCCTGTCGGAGCAGAAACATTTTCTACTGAACTCCTAAGCTAGGGTGCCTTATTGTGATGTCACATAAAGGCACACTTTGAAACGACTCGTTTTAGGATTCCACAAAAAAAACTCTGCGACTAAAATTTTAGTTAAACGTGGAAAAACCTAGCTTAGGAATCTGGACCAACCTAGCCAAAGCAAAGTGATATTGCCCTGCAGGCTAGTCTAGCCATGCTCTAATGAAGCCTCAGCAGGAAGAGCATCGACCTGAGCGGTTTTGTGTCAATCACAGCTCTCTATCGGTTTGGCGTGCGGGATGTTATTGCAACTGTGCAAAAAAAAAAAACAAAAAAAAACAAAGATGGCGAAGGCTTGTTTGAATTGGCTTCGGCATCAACTTTGGTCTATTTAGTCTTTTGGGCTTTTCTTTGAGTCAAGAGCTGATAGTGGTACTTCAGTCCTTTATTTACAAAAAAGATGCAGTTGCTTCTTCTTCGACAGAGTATGGCGGACTGCTCCGTTGACTGACATCCAGAGAGTTTGTTGTCCAACTGCATACGGAGACTGTTTCTAGGACAACCGTAGATTCCAACCCACCACTGAGATATGCTAGATAAGATAGGTATTAGAGAAGGCCACAAAGTTCACCATAGCAATAGAAAGTACTCCTGTCACCTGCTTAGACCAGATTAAGAGCCTTGGGGTGATTTTGGACAACACCCTGTCTTACCAGTCTCATATCAGTTCTGTTACTCGTTCAGCTTACTACCACCTGCGCAGCATTAACCGCCTTCGTCCATCTCTGTCTAATCACTCAACAGCAATTATAGTAAATAGTCTGGTCAATTCACGTCTTGATTACTGTGACTCACTCCTTTTTGGCTCGTCACAGAAATCTCTACATAAACTTCAACTGGTCCAAAACTCTGCTGCTCGCACCATCACCAGAACACCCTCCTCTGATCACATCACCCCCATTATCCAGCAACTTCATTGGCTACCAATACAATCCACGATTACAAAATTTTACTCCTTACATTCAAGGACATTAACAACCTTGCCCCCTCATATCTCAGAGCTCTTACAAGTATCTACACCCTCCCGCTTGCTCAGATCATCAGCTTCCATCAATCTGCACAATCCCTCTGCTTGTCTTGTCACCATGGGAAGTCACGCATTCAGCAGATTTGCCCCCTCCCTATGGAATTGATTACCAGCTAATCTCAGAAATACCACTACCATGCAACACTTCAAGGTCAAACTCAAAACTCACCTGATTGTATATTTACTATAACTGTATTTTAAGTGTTTTATCGTGGTTTTAAATTGACAAGTTTTTATTGTCCTTGTTGGAATATTTCATTCTTTTTATTGTACAGTGACCTAGAGTTTTTGAAAGGTGCTTCAAATAAAATTTATTATTATTATTATTATTATATGCCTATGGGTCATGGCCAGTGTAGCGTCCAGAAATGGTCAGCTTTTCATCTATTTTGGCCTTTTCAGAGACAGGTCCTCTTCAGACATTAATCTGCCTCTGTGCGTCTTTCTATCTAATATTCCAAGCTGCAAGGGAGATTCTGCAAGTGCATGTTGACATCTCAGGATCACGACATTGTCAACATGTTCCCTTCCCAAGGTTCTTCTCTGCCAAGCTGCTGTTATCTATTCCTTTCTTCACAGAACAAAAGATGAACTTTTATAATTACATCATAATGAAATGAACAATATGACTTAATCATACAATGAATGGACAAGGGGTTAAATGAAATGTTTCGATTAATCTGTGCTTAGATTAATAAGGATGAAATGAAATATATGACCCATACATTTAATCAACGTACGTGACTTGACGAGCTCACACACTCGTACAAATGACAAGACAATAAAGTTAAAGTAATTTCATGCACATAGGGATTTTCTAATCCACAAAGAGAACCATCTATCTGAAAGAAGGCGTGATGCTCTAAGGGTTGTTTGTTAACACCTCTTAACATGGGACATCCCAATTGGTCAGGTAATCATAATATGAGAATTATTAAAACAGAATCACTTCCTGAGTGATTCAGTTCAAGCTCAGTTCAGTTCAAGTACACCTTCGGAGTGGCCAGTCCTGAAGGGACTTTGAACCATCAAAGCTTTCGACAAGCCAAAAGCTGCCTGCAGCGACACAGAAACTTGCTCCTTCAGCTATTCAGAAACAGCTGATCTAGACGCAAATGATTTCCTCCATCGTTGTGACCTGGAGGCATCCTAGGACTGACTTGGTCGCATCGAGGTTTTCCTACGAGCCACGTGCAGTGAGGTCACCGACTCCTCGACATCTCAGATCCAAACGGGGTCTCCAGAACGGGTACGTAGGCACGACACGAATTGCGTCTGATGCTGTTATGATAAATCAATTCTTCAGCTTATAACAACCACAAATTCTTACACCCAGAATTCATAATTTCCTTCAGATACAAAGGATCTGGTAAACATCACACACCATCCCATCATCATACATCACGATCCATCCACTTCTATTCATCCATCACATAAAGTTGTTTATAGCTTGTCATGTATATAATTAGTCTAGAAAATTGTCTATTTTTGATTACATCCTTGACTCTGTTTGAATTAATACGACGTGTGTTACGATCACTGGAAAAGCAAAGAATCCTAATTCTTCTGATTAAACATTCAAAGATCAATCAGGTTGATATCCTATATTTATTTAGAATATCACATCTTATTGGTCATACGTAAATTCAATTCAATTCAAAAATACTTTATTAATCCCAGAGGGAAACTGATTGCTGTAGTAGCTCAGACTAATAATAATCAAGTCATCAAGGAGTTGTTGTATATTACAATGGCTGTTGGCAGGAAGGATCTCCAGTAGCGGTCAGTGTTGCAGCCAAACTGAAGAAGCCTCTGACTGAAGACACTCTTCTGTTGTTGGACAGTCTTGTGAAGAGAATGCTCAGGGTTGTCCATAATTTTCTTGATTCTCTGGAGAATCCTTCTTTGCGTAATCTCCTCCAGCGGTTCCAAAACTGCAGACACTCTGGCTGAGTCCTTGAAAGGGCTTGGAGTTCCTCCATCTTGTTGGCCAGTGATCTCACGTTGCCCATTATGATCGATGGAAGAGATGGTTTGAATTTCCTCTTTCTCTGTCTCCATTTTGCTCCCGCTCTGCACCCACGCTTTTTACGTTTTAGTTCATTTGGGATTTGTGGCTTCAGTTGAGGTATTATTTCAGCCTTTCCTGCTCCCGATTGTAAACAAACTTGTTGCCATGGTTACGCATCATAACAAATGCTCAAAAATTGAAAAAAGCTAAAAAAATTGCAGTAAAAATCCTCCAAGCTTCACAGCACCAGAAACAGAAAAGTAAAGTGTACAAAAAAAAAAAAAAAACGTTTTTCTTGAGAAACTAGAAGAAAAAATGCCCAAGAAAAGGCAAAACTTACATATAGTCAACAGAGCTACTCCAACATGCAGCCACCCAGAGCAGCGCAGTTCCGGAAAAAAAAGGTAGTAACAGTACTAAAGTACTAAAGGTAGTATATTAAGCTTAAAAGCAACTTATCCCTCTACACCAGCAAATCAATGACATTGACGTCACTTGTAACATTTTCTGAAATTTTCCTCCAGAATTATCTAATAATTCATGGTTTTGACTTTTAAGAGAAATGTTAACAGTACGTTAAGCCTTACCAGGTGCTATGCTGGTGCTTCGAGGCATTTTCATCCTGAAGATGTGAGGAGGACAGTGCTTCCGGAGGCTGTACCAAACTCCGATCCGATCGGCGTCGCGGACGGACTCAAACTCAACAAACACCTGGAGAGGAAACGCATGTAGATGAGAGTTACACAGGAAGCAAAAACCTCATGCGCTTTCTAAGAGTGTGTGTTTCTACCTTGTTGAGCAGAGGCAGGTAGTTCTTTACACACTTGATTCTTTTTAAAGTTTCCCTGAGAGCCCCGGCCTCGTCTGAATCGATGTTCTGGATGTAGATTGTACTCTCTCCATCATCTGCCACTTTCTGCTCCAAACAAACAAGGGGAGCGGCGTTTAAAACAGTTCGTCTTATATCGCGGCTTCTCACTTATAAAAAGTACAAAATAATGGAAAAGTATATTTTGGGAATAAATACTAAATGTTTGAAATTGAGGTGAGGAGTGGTTTACGCAGGCAAGTTAAATTTCTACAGTAAAAATAATAAATGATTTAGAGTCGTCGTCGTCGTTGTCGTCTTCCTCCGCTTATCTGGGTCCGGGTCGCGGGGGCAGCATCCCAACTAGGGAGCTCCAGGCCGTCCTCTCCCCGGCCTTGTCCACCAGCTCCTCCGGCAGGACCCCAAGGCGTTCCCGGACCAGATTGGAGATGTAACCTCTCCAACGTGTCCTGGGTCGACCCGGGGGCCTTCTGCCGGCAGGACATGCCCTTAACACCTCCCCGGGGAGGCGTCCAGGAGGCATCCTGACCAGATGCCCAAACCACCTCAACTGGCTCCTTTCGATCCGGAGGAGCAGCGGTTCTACTCCGAGTCCCTCCCGAATGTCCGAGCTCCTCACCCTATCTCTAAGGCTGAGCCCGGCCACCCTACGGAAGAAACTCATTTCGGCCGCTTGTATCCGCGATCTCGTTCTTTCGGTCATTACCCAAAGCTCATGACCATAGGTGAGGATTGGGACGTAGATCGACCGGTAAATCGAGAGCCTGGCTTTCTGGCTCAGCTCCCTCTTCCCCACGACAGATCGGCTCATGATTTAGAGTGTAATATAAAAAAAGAGATGCTGTAAAATAAATAGAAGGTGTGAATTTACTTACATGATCCATCTTTTCCATCAGAGATTTATAAAATTCAAACTGAAAAAGAGAAACCAGAATCAAATCATAACACTGAGTGGATTTTAAAACTTCTCATTCGTAGTCTGTTTTTGTCAAATAGCTAAGGGTGCAAAGCCTTTGCATATGTTTGCATTTTGATGCCATTTGTATTTTATATCTTAGGAAAATGTTTTGAAAAAAAAATATTGAGATAAAAAATACTTTGCAGATGCGAATAGAAAGCACTTGTTTCTGCAAGCACTGCAATAAATGATTACAAGCTTGCTAAAATTGCTACTGACACAAGTGATACGAGTGGGAGGAAGTGAATCCCATCTAAGTGGAACAAATGACACAAGGTGTGAAACATGGAACAGGGTTATGCTGTGAAAGTGCTTTTTAGACATAAACAGGTGCAACAGGTCAAGTCCTGCTGGGGTTAACCCCAGATGTGTGGAGAACGAGCCAAAGAGACCAGAACCAATATTAAGAGCATCTTGCACATTTCCTTAGTCGCTGTGTTACAAATAAACTGGATCAGGGCGAGTTCAGAAGTCTAATTGCAAAAAGTTAAAGTCCCATTAGTTGTCACACACTGATGTGTGTGCGAAATTTGTTCTCCGCATTTGACCCATCCCCTGGGGGAGCGATGAGCTGCAGACACAGCCGCGCTCGGGAACTATTTGGTGGTTTAACCCCCCAATCCAACCCCCTTAATGCTGAGTGTCAAGCAGGGAGGCATTGGGTCCCATTTTTTCAAAGTCTTTGGTATGACCCGACCAGGAATCGAACCCTGATCTCCCAGTCTCAGGGCGGACACTCTACCACTAGGCCACTGAGCTGTTGATCAGGGAAGTAAGGTTCTCGACTCGGAGCTTTGTACTTGATATTTGTGTGGCTTAGAAATAAATTCTTAAGGTTTGTACTTTCAACAGTTGAATTATTGCTTTATTATTACTTATTCAGAAACATGCACAACAGTATTTACTCTGTAATGGCTCAGTGGAGTCGCTGGGAGGGACTTGTGGTTGTTGGCTGGTTCTAAAATCACCATTTCTAAACTCCCAATCCCGACAATTGGGGCAGGAATCCCTCCACGATGCCGCAATTTACCCCGTTTTGTGGTCACCTATAGAGCACTGTAAAAAACAATGTTTCTTCTTCTTTATTAAATGCCGTTTTAAGTCACAGCTGCTCACCTCTCCCTTAAAACCCTAGCCCAAATATTTAGCGTACTTCGGCAGAATTCAAAATGTTCACTACCAAAATGACCCCGACAGGCTGACGTTACAGCAAAGTCCTTAAAGAAATGATTTTGTATGAAGACAACTGCTGAGAGGTCTGAGCCATTGTGTTTTCCAGGACCTTCCCCCTCCCAAATACGCCCCAGTACTCATCTGGTGGAAACGCAGCTCACCATTCAAGAAAACACTAGTCAAGGATTCTGTACACTAAAGCCTGCTTACTGGTGTCATCAAAATCCCACTGCTGACGATGTCTACGTCAAGCTGAAATCCGCCGATATTCAAGTTGTGTCTTGGAACCATGAAAAGTCCCTTTGCGCTCTCGAAACTTGGCATGAGGGCAAATGCCTGAAAGACAAACAAAAACAACAACAAAGGTTTAAATGCTCCAACAAATGGTTTAAATCAGATTCTTTGATCAATCTGTTGACCCACCATGCGTGCCTGAGGAATAACGTAAATGTTCTTATCCTCGTACTCAAATCCAAATTTCTGGAGCAGCTGTACGACGTCGTCTTCGGTGTAACGATGCGTTGGCAGCTTGGTTATCAAGCACAGCCTTGGCTGAAAGGGTAACAGCTGGAATGACTGACCTTGAAAGAGCTTTCAGATTTCCTCAAACTGCCTTTAATGAAACTCTTTTGCCTTTTCGGTCACAGGAAATGTAAAATCAAATCAAGGTAGGTTAACAAACAGCAAATGGACAGTTTAATGCTCATTCGTGGAGATTTCTCACCTCAGAACTAGAGATCGACCAATCTGGGTTTTGCCGTTTCCGATATGTTTACGCCTCATTAACATGCTAAAATGTCAAACAGGTGATGCACAACATTTTTGAACCCAATCAGATTCTGAACACTGAGTCTGACCCAGCTGTTGAATCTTGAATTGTGCGCTGCTTAGTATCGAAATCAGACTTTTGACCAAAGTTAATTAAACTTATCAATTATTAAACATAGGTGAATAAAAAGAAATGTAAGTTGACGATAATAGTTGTCTATCCCTACTCAGGATGATGACATGTAGAATAACTAGCTTTCTAAACGTAGTGTGATCTTTGCTAATACAAGCTAGTCTGCACATCAACTAAAGATCGACAAATATGGGTGGAAGTCATGGACTGTGTACAAATTCAGGGGCTGCATCCATCTCGGCCAGATTTCAAGGCCGGTTCCATTGCAGTCACAACAAAAGCTGTCTAAATTCCAAGGGTTTTGTAAATATGGCCCACGACTCTGTCCCTCTTGCTCCTCAATTTAAAGAACGGGTCAGAAGAAGAAGAAGAAGAAGAAGCAGAAGAAAAAGAAAAAGAAGAAGAAAAGATCTTCGCTATAGCACCTCTCAAGATAAAAATCACGAGGCGCATCACAAAAACAAAACACGTAAAACTATAAAAAGCATTTAGAAAATGGTTAAAATATATTAAAATGAACAAAAAATAGACAATTGTGATTAAAAAAATGTTAAGAAAGAGAGAGTGAACAGGAAAGAGGGAAACCAGTGGATCCTGAGGAAGGTGGGATAGGTGGGGGGAGCAGAATAAAGAGAGAGTGGTGATGAAGGTGATACAAAAGCCAGCTTGAACAAGTGAGTCTTCAGCTGCTTTTTAAAGGAGACTGCTGAGTCCACTGATCTCAGGCTCAGGGGGAGAGAGTTCCAGAGTCTGGGGGCCACAGCAGCAGATGATCTGTCACCTTTGGTCTTTAGCCTGGTGCTGCACAACCAGTAGGCTTTGATCACTGGACCTCAGGGACCTGCTGGGGGTGTAGGGACTAAGAAGATCACCAATGTAAGATGGTGCTTGTCCATGTAAGGCCCTATAGACCAGAACCAGGATCTTGAAATGAACCCTGAAGTTGACTGGCAGCCAGTGAAGCTGGAGGAGAAGCGGGGTGATGTGGGTGTGTTTGGAGGACTTGGTCAGAAGCCGAGCACAGGCATTCTGAACCACCTGTAGACGGTTCAGGGAGGTTCTGCTCAGACACGTGAAAAGAGAGTTACAGTAGTCTAAGCGTGAGGAGATGAAGGTGTGGAGAACAGTCTCAAGTTCAGAGCGGGACAGAATGGGACTCAGCTTAGCAACGTTCTGTCTGGTGTATCCTCCGCAGCTCACCCTAACCCTAAAAGATGCATTACGAGCCGAACGTGGGATTTTTTTTAACAACAATGGTGGACAAATATGACAGCTATAAGTAAAAGCTTAAAATGATTAGATTTAGGACTTCAGTCATTTATATAAAACATTTCTAAGTAACTAAATGTTAAAGTAATTTTAAGTGCAGCTGTAAGGTAAACATTGCTGACATTACTGTTCTTCTCATTAGAGTTGTTTTTACATCTTGTGCTTTATTAAACGCAAGCTTCTCCTGTGCCAGTCTCCCCACTGAACAATGACCTTCCTAGAACACGCGGGTCTGTGTGTTATCTGTTTCTCTCCCATGGGAACCAGCAGGTTGAATGAACGCACCTGTTTCTGTATTAGGGAGTTGTGGCCTTGGTTTCACTCCCTATATGAAAACAACTTTTCTCCTGAATGTCTACGGAGCAGTTTAGGAACGTGGTGTGCTGCGTGTGCGTTGCTTGTGTGTGTGTAATAAAAGCCCTCAGAGAACAGCCGTTCTCTGAGACTGTGTGAACCAAGCTTCCGGGTCTGTACGGTCATCGCTTCACCTTTCTCCCTTTGCAAAGAAAACGGAACAATACTATGCTCTAATCCTCCGTGCGTTCGATTCTCTTAAGGCAACCTGGTTTGCAGGAAATAACCCAAAAGCAGCTGCAGTACATCCTCCAGAATTAAAAAGCTCAGCAAAACCTTCAAGCTCTGTATTCCGAAGCTTCTGGCCAGGGTGGTCATGTTATAGGTGATGGGACATTAGCCGCGGTAGGGGCGGGATTAAATCTGAAGTTTAGACCATCCAGATTCACAGACTTCTGCTTTCCATCTACATGGTAGACAAGATACGTGTGCCGACTGGGTAGACCTTGAAGGACGCAGCCCCTGAATTTTGACACACACCGTCAGCCGATGGCCGACACGTGCTACAGGTTTTCTTGCTGATATCTAGAGGTCTTCCGCTTTATTTGAAAGCAACAATTTCACTAATACCAACAGTGGGCGTGCAACGTTTGAGCCTGATCAGATGTGCCTGACTTTAAATCAGCTGCATGTCAATAAAGACGAGTGTTTGTGTGTGTGTGTGTGTGTGTGTGTGTGTGTGGGTGGGGCACTTACAGTTACATTTAGTGATTGTATGGCCTTCCTGTTAATACAACCTGTGAAGAAGTAGTAATAAAGATTTATGTCGCTTGAATTTCAAAATCAAAATACTGATCTCTTGGATAGCTTACTGATTTTTTGTGGAACTAGGAGACTTCCTATCCTCTCTCCAACAGTCAGTTCTGTAACTGATGGAGTGGAAGCTGCAGCCGGCTGCTTTCTGACCGCTGCCGGTGCTGCAGGTGAAACGGGAGATGAGGCTGAAGCGTTGGAGACGGCATTTGAAGCTGAATCAGACTGTGTCTTCGGTATGGCTACAGGGCCTAAAAGCGAAGAAATATTCCTGTAAAATTAGGTTTCATAGCCTAAACTCTGCTTTGACTCATCGTCTAACGTCCTGCCCGATGCTGGCTGGTGTAAGCTTTTAGTAGAGGTGTTTCTGCTGACAGGATTACCTGCTGCTGCTCGGGTCTCCGTGAAGAGCTGGCCTGGTGGTGTCACACCGGTTGTTTCTGCTTTGGAGGACAGGAGGGTTTCCTGTGGTACGGGAGCTTTCCCCCCCGTTACTGCCTCAGGTTTACAGACACTGGGAGGTTCTACGGCCTTTTCCTTTAGTCTAATCTCAGATTTAGAAGCATGTGAAGGTGCTGTAGATGGTTTGTCCGGCATAACCTCAGGTTTGGTAAGTCTGGGGACTTCTGCAGCTCCTTTCTCTGGCTTGTTCTCAAATGAAGACGCAACACGAGGTTCTCCAGCCTTTTGCTTTGCCTCAGGTTTAACCGTAGATGTAGAAACATCTGAAGGTGCTGTAGATGGTTTGTCTGGCATAAACTCAGGTTTACTGACTCTGGGGACTTCGGCAGCTCCTTTCCCTGGCTTGTCCTCAAACGAAGACGCAGTGAGAGGTTCTCCCGCCGTTTCCTTTGGCTTTGCCTCAGGTTTATAAACAGTGGAAGGTTCTGTGGCCTTTTCTCCAACACTAATCCCAGATTTAGAAACATCTGAAGGTTTTGCAGCTGGTTTGTTAAAAATAATCTCAGGCATAGACACTTTAGGAGGTCCCTCTTGCTTGTTTTCAGGTTTTGAACCACACAACGGTTCCATAGCCGTTCCCTCCGGCCTTGACTCCGATTTGGAAGCTTTGAGAGGTTCTACAGAATGTTCGCTGGACTTAATCTCAGGTTTAGAAACTTTGGTGAGCTCTGCAGCTCCTACCTCAGGTTTAATCATAGATTTAGAAACGTTTGAAGGTTTCGTGGCTGGTTTGTCAGATACAGGTTTTGGGGTTTCAGTGATTCTCTCTTCTGATTCGGTGGGAGGTTCTGGCGCTCGTTCCTCTGGTTTATTCACAGATTTACAAACATTTAAATGTTTTGGGACTGGTTGGTCCCACCTAGAAGCTTTGGGAGTTTCTGGAGCGCTGTCCTCAGGTTTTACCATAGATGAAGGAACGTCTGGAAGTTTTGCAGCTGCTTTGTTGAAAATAGCCTCAGTTTCAGATGATTTAGAAGGTCCCTCTTGCTTGTTTTCACATTTAGAACCAAATAAATGTTCTACAGCCATTCCCTCCGTTTTTGACTCAGATTTTGAAGCTTTGAGAGGTTGTACAGATTGTTCGTTGGGCCTTATCTGAGGTTTAGAGAGTTTGGTGGATTCTGCAGCTCTTACCTCGGGTTTAATCATATATTTAGAAATGTTTGAAGGTTTCGTGGCTGGTTTGTCAGGTACAGGAGCTTTAGGGGTTTCAGTGAGTCTCTCTTCGGACTTGTTGTCAGATGTAGAAATGGTGGGAGGTCCTGGCACTCGTTTCTCTGGGTCATTCACAGATTTACAAACATTTAAATGTTTTGAGTATGGCTGATCCCACTTGGAAGCTTTGGGAGTTTCTGGAGCACTTTCTTTAGGTCTAACCGCAGACAAAGACACCTCTGGAGGTTTTGTAGATGGGTGGTCAAGAATAACCTCAGGTTTAGCATCTCTAGGAGCTTCAGCAGCTTCTTTCCCTGGCTTGTTCTCAAATGAAGACAAAATGGAAGGTTTTCCAGTTTTTTCCTTTGGCTTTGTCTCAGATATAGAAACATTTGAAGGATTCGTGGCTGGTTTGTTGAGAATAATCTCAGATTTAGAAACATTTAAAGGTTCCGTGGCTGGTTTGTTGAGAATAATCTCAGATTTAGAAATATTTGAAGGTTTCATGGCTGGTTTGTTGAGAATAATCTCAGATTTAGAAATATTTGAAGGTTTCATGGCTGGTTTGTTGAGAATAATCTCAGATTTAGAAATATTTGAAGGTTTCATGGCTGGTTTGTTGAGAATAATCTCAGATTTAGAAACATTTAAAGGTTTTGTGGCTGGCTCGTTGAGAATACTCTCAGATTTAGAAACATTTGAAGGTCCATCTTGCTTGTTTTTAGATGTAGAACCACACGAAGGTTCTATAGCTATTCCCTCAGTTTTTGACTCAGGTTTGGAAACTTTAGCTTGTTCGTCAGGCTTAATCTGAGGTTTAAAAGCTTTGGTGGGTTCAGCAGTGCTCACTTCTGGCTTATTCTCAGATTTAGAAACATTTGAAGGTTTCATGGATGGTTTGTTGAGAATAATCTCAGATTTAGAAACATTTAAAGGTTTTGTGGCTGGTTTGTTGAGAATAATCTCAGATTTAGAAACATTTGATGGTCCGTCTTGCTTGTTTTTAGATGCAGAACCACACGAAGGTTCTATAGCTATTCCCTCAGATTTTGACTCAGGTTTGGAAACTTTAGCTTGTTCGTCAGGCTTAATCTGAGGTTTAAAAGCTTTGGTGGGTTCAGCAGTGCTCACTTCTGGCTTATTCTCAGATTTAGAAACATTTGAAGGTTTCATGGATGGTTTGTTGAGAATAATCTCAGATTTAGAAACATTTAAAGGTTTTGTGGCTGGTTTGTTGAGAATAATCTCAGATTTAGAAACATTTGATGGTCTGTCTTGCTTGTTTTTAGATGTAGAACCACACGAAGGTTCTATAGCTATTCCCTCAGATTTTGACTCAGATTTGGAAACTTTAGCTTGTTCGTCAGGCTTAATCTGAGGTTTAAAAGCTTTGGTGGGTTCAGCAGTGCTCACTTCTGGCTTATTCTCAGATTTAGAAACATTTGAAGGTTTCGTGGTTGGTTTGTTGAGAATAATCTCAGATTTAGAAACATTTGAAGGTCCGTCTTGCTTGTTTTTAGATGTAGAACCACACGAAGGTTCTATAGCTATTCCCTCAGTTTTTGACTCAGATTTGGAAACTTTAGCTTGTTCGTCAGGCTTAATCTGAGGTTTAAAAGCTTTGGTGGATTCATCAGTGCTCACTTCTGGCTGATTCTCAGATTTAGAAACATTTGAAGGTTTTGTGGCTGGTTTGTAAGGATTAACCTCAAATTCAGAGGCTTTTGTCATCTCCACCACTCTCACTGCTGGCTTGTTCTGGGGTTTAGGAATATTTGAAGGTTTTGCTGATTGACTGTTGGGTAGAACCTCAGGTTTAGAAGCTCTGAGAGGTCCCTCTTGCTTATCCTGAGATTTACAAACATTTGAAGGTTTCGGGGCTGGTTTGTCAGGTATAGGAGCTTTAAGGGTTTCAGTGACTCCCTCTTCTGGCCTGTTTTCAGATTTAGAAATGGTGGGAGGTTCTGCTGCTCGTTCCTCTGGTTTATTCACAGATTTACAAACAATTGAAGGTTTCGTGGCTGGTTTGTCTGGTAGGGAAGCTTTTGTAGTCTCCTTGGCTCTCACCTGTGGCTTGTTGTCAGATTTAGGAACATTTGAAGGTTTTGCTGATTGACTGTTGGGTAGAACCTCAGATTTAGAAGCTCTGAGAGGTCCCTCTTGCCTATTCTGAGATTTAGAAACATTTGAAGGTTTCATGGCTGGTTTGTTGAGAATAATCTCAGATTTAGAAACATTTGATGGTCCGTCTTGCTTGTTTTTAGATGTAGAACCACACGAAGGTTCTATAGCTATTCCCTCAGATTTTGACTCAGATTTGGAAACTTTAGCTTGTTCGTCAGGCTTAATCTGAGGTTTAAAAGCTTTGGTGGGTTCAGCAGCGCTCACTTCTGGCTGATTTTCAGATTTAGAAACATTTGAAGGTTTTGTGGCTGGTTTGTAAGGATTAACCTCAAATTCAGAGGCTGTTGTCATCTCCACCACTCTCACTGCTGGCTTGTTCTGGGGTTTAGGAATATTTGAAGGTTTTGCTGATTGACTGTTGGGTAGAACCTCAGGTTTAGAAGCTCTGAGAGGTCCCTCTTGCTTATCCTGAGATTTACAAACATTTGAAGGTTTTGGGGCTGGTTTGTCAGGTATAGGAGCTTTAAGGGTTTCAGTGACTCCCTCTTCTGGCCTGTTTTCAGATTTAGAAATGGTGGGAGGTTCTGCTGCTCGTTCCTCTGGTTTATTCACAGATTTACAAACATTTGAAGGTTTCATGGCTGGTTTGTCTGGTAGGGAAGCTTTTGTAGTCTCCTTGGCTCTCATCTGTGGCTTGTTGTCAGATTTAGGAACATTTGAAGGTTTGGCTGGTTGATTTTTGGACATAATCTCAGGTTGAGAAGTGTTGAGCATTTCGGCTTCAACTTCTCCCGACTTGTTCTCAAATTTTAAAGTGAAAGATCCAATAGATTTAGGCACATTTGAAGGTATCGCTGATTGTTTGTCAGACTTCGTCTCTGATTTAGAAACTCTGGAGGCTTCTGGAGTTCTTTCCTCTGGTTCATTCCCAAAAGTAGAAACCTTGGAAGGTTCTGCAGCTCCTCTCTCTGGCCTTTTCTGAGATGCGGAAACCTTAGCAGGGCTTTTCTGCAACACAGCTTCAGACTGTGACACCATGGATGTGTCAGACGTGGCTGGTTTCTCAGAATCAGCTTTTGCTTCATCAGAGAGGCGAGGCTGAGCTCCAGTTTTAGGTTTAGCACCATTGTCCCTCTCAAGGTTTAGTGTGATCTCACTGGTGTCCCGTAAACGTTGTTTTAGACCATTCAAGCTGTAATTAAAGATGGCAGATTCTGTGAGTGGCTGATAAAACCTGAGGTCTCCTATCTTACTGTATAAATAACACAATACTCACGATTCAACGTGCCGAACTTTAGCCCTGTGAAGCAAACAGAGATGTCAGTCAGACGAACATAATAAAGAATAAAGGAGGAAAGTATATTTTAAGGGGACATATCTATTTTTAAGCTAGTTATAATAGTTCTTTTTGGTCGATAAAAACATGTTTATGAAGGTTTTTGCTCTAAATCTCACATAAAATGATTTCAACAGTTTGACATTTTCAGTACCTTCCAGAATGAGCGCTTTTAGGGCCCTGTCACTGTAAGCAAACAAGTAGGAGCTGGCCACGCCCACCCTTCCGTCTGATCAGCTGCTATGAAGTGAGGCTCGCATAACCGTGAGGGGCTTGGAGTAGAGCTGCTGCTCCTCCAGGGGGGTTCAATGCTAACTTGGTGTCACAAGAACCAGGCCTTTCCACCAGACGTATAACATCCGTGAAACGTAGTACGCTGCAATTAGCCACGATCAGAGCGGATAGGTTTTTGTCCACCGGCTGTGAATAGTTATGTCGTCGTCTTCCTCCGCTTATCCGGGTCCGGGTCGCGGGGGCAGCATCCCAACTAGAGAGCTCTAGACCATCCTCTCACCGGCCTTCTCCACCAGCTCCTCCGGCAGGACCCCAAGGCGTTCCCGGATCAGATTGGAGATGTAACCTCTCCAACGTGTCCTGGGTCGACCCGGGGGCCCCCTGCCGGCAGGACATGCCCGAAACACCTCCCCAGGGAAGCGTCCAGGAGGCATCCTGACCAGATGCCCAAACCACCTCAACTGACTCCTTTCGATCCGGAGGAGCAGCGGTTCTACTCCGAGTCCCTCCCGAATGTCCGAGCTCCTCACCCTATCTCTAAGGCTGAGCCCGGCCACCCTACGGAGGAAACTCAATTCGGCCGTTTGTATCCGCAATCTCGTTCTTTCGGTCATTACCCAAAGCTCATGACCATAGGTGAGGATTGGGACGTAGATCGACAGGTAAATCGAGAGCCTGGCTTTCTGGCTCAGCTCCCTCTTCACCACGACAGATCGGCTCAGCGTCCGCATCACTGCAGACGCCGAACCAATCCACCTGTCGATCTCCCGATCCCTCCTACCCTCACTCGTGAACAAGACCCCGAGATAACTCCTCCACTTGAGGTAGGACCTCTCCCCCGACCCGGAGTTGGCAATAGTTGAATAGTTACATTTTGGAAACGTCTCTGATACGTTGGTTGGTCCGCGTTGCTAACAATTTGAGCCTACGCTTGCAGAATGCATCAACGTCTGCAGTTGCAAACCATCCTGAAACTTTCAAAATAAAAGTCACGTGCACATTTCTAATTGTTCAACTAGTAAAAAAATATATGTTATTACTGTGATAACATACGTAGCCAAGCTAAACCACAGATCTTTTTGGAAACATGCTACTGACTTTCTTGTTGCTTGATTTTGCGTGATCACACGTAGTTTAGCAGTGATCTGGTGATTTCATGAACTCTTGGAACCAGCTGCACGGAACACTTTCACTGCCATTCCGCATCTGAACCGCTCCTGGTGGGAAGGGATCTTGTGGGTATACGGATCTATTACATCGCCCAATGCTTATGCATTCAGTGAATAGGCTGGTTAAGAAACATTTTAAACGCCTCAAAAAATCAGAAAATTCCTGAGACCAAAGTCTGACAGAAAACTTTAGGTTACTGTCGTAACCCTGGTTCTCTGAGTAACATGAGTGAGATGTCTCACTATGGGATACGCCCCTCCGCGGATTCCTCAGAAGCACTTATCTCAATACGCCAATCCTGATTGGCCAGTGACCGTGATGTACGCCTCCCCCTGCTACTATAAGTAGCAAGCGTCCCAACGTACGCACTATTCAAGATAAACACCTCTTCTCGCTTCGCCCAGCAAGAAGGGTTGTCTGGTGAGACATCTCACTCATGTTACTCAGAGAACCGGGGTTACGACAGTAACCTAAAGTTCTCTTTCTTAACATTCGTTTCGATGTCTCACTATGGGATATGGAGACTCCCGTATTGCCAGACAGCTTATCCAGCGATCACCAACCTACAGGGATACGTCTTGGCCTGCCAAAGACCCCACACTCAGAATCGTGTGAGTCATTGCAGGGACCGAAACATCAAGCTTATAGAAGTGTGCAAATGCAAGTGGAGAAGCCCAACTTGCTGCAGCACAAATCTCCTGGATTGACAGCCCCCGAAAAAGGGCCCAAGAAGCAGACAGGCCCCTAGTAGAATGGGCCCTGAGCCCAACAGGAGCCTGAATGCCCTGACAGGAGTAAGCCATAGAAATAGCCTCCACAATCCAGTGGGAAAGCCTCTGCTTTGTGACGGGTTTCCCCTTACGAGGCCCACCCCATGACACAAAAAGCTGGTCCCCCCTGCAAAGGTTCTCCGTCCGATTCACATACTCCTTGAGCGCACGAATCGGACACAGCTTGTGCCACCGCTCCTCCTCAGGAGAGGAGAAGGGTGGCGGGTAGAAAGCTGTGAGGATAATAGGAGAAAAGGAGCCCACCACCTTAGGCACAAAGGCAGGGTTGGGCTTCAAGGACACCTTCATGTCACCGGGTGCAAACTGGGTGCAGGATGGGTGCACAGAGAGAGCCTATAAGTCACTAACTCGCTTTGCAGATACCAAAGCCAGGAGTAGCACCACCTTAAAAGACAGGATCTTAAGGTCCAGGCCGTCCATAGGTTCAAATGGAGGCCCGGAGAGGGCCGACAGCACCAAGGACAGTTCCCATGAGGGCACCAGGGGTCGAGACACAGGGAGAAGCCTGCGCGCGCCCCTCATGAAGCTACACACCAGGGGGTGTTGACCTGCCAATTTCTTCCCAAAACCCAAGTGTCGGGCGGAAATGGCTGCTAGGTACATTTTAATGGTGGAGAAAGCCTTCTTCCCATCCAACAAGTCTTGCAGGAAAGACAGAATGACATTCACCGGGCATTGGAAGGGTGAAACCTCCCTGCCCTGACACCAGGCTTCAAACACCCTCCATTTACAGTCATATAGGGACCTAGTGGAGGGGGCCCTAGCATTCTGAATGGTTCGAATGACTGTCTGGGGCAGCTCTGCTGACACTAGCCCGCACCCCTGAGGGGCCAGGCCCACAGGGCCAGCCGTTCTGGATGAGGGTGGAAGATCGAGCCTCCCGCTTGGGACACCAGGTCCCTGCGAAGCGGAAGTTTCCAAGGTTGGCCCTCCAGGAGCTGGAAAATGTCCGCCACCCAATGCATGGCTGGCCAGTATGGGGCCACCAGAATGAGAGTGTGGAGCTGGGTTCATACCCTCAGCAAGGTGGGTGGTATCAGGGCCACTGGGGGAAAAGAGTAAAGCAGTCCCCGTGGCCAGTCGTGCGCCAGCGCGTCCACGCCGAGTGGAGCGTCTCGGTCGTGCAGAGGACAGTGAGCATTCTCCTTGGAGGCAAAAAGATCCACTACGGCTGTGCCGAACCGGATCCAAATCTGTTCCAACACTGCTGGATGCAGGCTCCAATCCCCGTACAGGGGTGTCCCTCTGGACAACAGATACGCCCCCCGATTCAGAACACCCGGGACATGGGTGGCTCTGATTGAGAGGAGATGCCTGCTGCACCATAGGATCAGTCTGCATGCCAGCGTGTGTAACCGCATGGAGCGCAGCCCCCCCGGTGGTTTATATAAGCCACAGTCATGGTGTTGTCTGTTCTCACTAGGACATGATGGCCGGAGAGAAAAGGCAGGAAGTGCCTCAGGGCTAGAAAGACCGCGAGGAGTTCCAGATAATTTATGTGTGTCCCCCAGAGCTCTCTGCTCCACACACCCCTGACAGAGCGACCCTCCAGGAGCCCCCCCCCACCAACCTGACAGGCTCGCATCTGTCGTGACCACTTTCCTCACGAGAACCAACCCCAAAGGCACCCCCTGTGCCAAGAGGGAGGGGTGACACCAACAGCGGAGCGCCGCGACGCACGCTGCAGATACCGTCACCCTGCGCGCTCTGTGGCGCACTGGAGAGAGACCCAGAGAAGCCACCCAGCGTTGAGAATCTCTCATGTGTAGACGGCCGAGTGGTACCACTGAAATAGCCAACGCCATGAGACCCAAAAAGCCTGAGGCATAACGCAAACTGCACCGAACTGTGTAGGCGGAAGCGCGGCAGGCAGAACGAGAGCGCGTTCATGCGCGGTGCCGAGAGACGGGCCGAGAACTCCCGAGTCCAGATTCAGACCTAGAAATGTTATTTTCTGGGAGGGGAGTAAAGCGCTTTTCTGCCAGTTTATTCTGAAACCCAGACCACACAAGTGAGGGATCACAACCAGCGTGTTTGACGCTGCCTCCTCTCTGGACCGTGCCAGCATGAGCCAGTCGTCTAAATAGGTGGCCAGCCGAATGCCCCTCCCTCTCAGAGGGGCGATCGCCGCCTCCGTACACCTGACAAACACCCTCGGGCTCAGCGAGAGGCCGAATGGGAGCACGGTGTATTCATAACACACTCCCTGAAAGGCAAACCTCAGAAATTTCCTGTGTGGAGGGTACACGGGAATATGAAAGTATGCGTCCCTCAGGTCGATTGAGGTGAACCAGTTGCTCTGGTGAATCAGACGCAAAAGGGATGAGAGCGTGAGCATTTTGAAACTGTACTTTCTGAGGCATCGGTTCAGGGCCCTCAGATCCAGGATCGGGCGAATCCCGGTCCCTCCCCGCTTCGGGACCAGGAAGTACCTGGAGTAGAAACCGCTCTGAGACTGATCGGGAGGCACAATGCATATCGCTCCCTTCTCCAGCAGGGAGGAGATTTCTCCCTGAAGGATGTGAGCTGACGACCCCTGGGCGTGGGAGAACACTACGCCGGAGAATCGAGGAGGAACAGAAGCGAATTGGAGCCTGTAACCTCTCGAAATAGTTCTCAGCACCCAACGTGAAGCAGAAACCGCTGTCCATTCCTCCATGTGAGTGGAGAGCGGTGACACAGCCGTGACACACGGAGCAGCAGCTCCCTCCAGAGGTTGTGGGGCAGCGGTGCTCGTGGCAGCCACTGCGCATGCGCGGGGGCTTTGTG